AGAAGCTAGCAGAGTTTATGTGGGCTATAAATGCAGCAAAAAAAATTATGCTGCCCAAGTCCTGCAGAGCTGGTGTGTCCTGTGCTGGCTTGCCAAACCATGAGCTGGTTTTAGCACCGTTGCTATTGGCTTGTGCTGGCTGCAGGGCTGTCTCCACCCCAAATCACAGCATTCTGTCATATTTTAAGCACATAAACCTAGCACTAAGAGCATGATCAAAAACCTGTCAGAAAGAATGGAGATATTTCTACTAAATTTCAGTTGAAGATCTGATCTGCACTTTTTTTCTCTGCATTCATACTTCAAAATTTAGTGAGTTCTAATTAATAATGAGAATGACAGTCTAGTAGGCAATTAAATTCACTGAAGTACAACCAGAAACCTAAGTGTACAAGAAACATAACTAGAAGAAATAGGCAAAATATTTGTATACAAATAGTGGGAACATAGGTAAGAAAATGGGCAAACTTTACTTACAAAATATTTACACAGAGAACCTAGGGGTAACAAAAACCTATCAGAAACAATAACTGGAGTCAACTGAGTAGTACAGGTTCTTCACAAAGGAGGTACATAGAGCTGGTAGCATTGCCTGAAAATATAAGATAATTTGTGATGAAACAAGTTATGTCAATAAAACAAATTCTGTTTGCATCAAGCACTTCAAGCATGAAAAAGGTTGGGGTTTTTTTTCAGAATTAAAGCTTGTGGAAAATCCCCAGGGTGTCAGATTTAATTCTGAAACATTATTGTAGAGACAAATGTAAAACAGAATCTGTCATTAAAAGATGTTGAAGCTCAGTAATTTCTTCACCAGTTACTAGTCCAACTAAAGATAATGACAGTACAGATCTGGATTTTGCTTTGAAATACATAAGTAACAAAATGGAACCTCTAATCAAACATTCAGGCACTGAGTCAATTAACATTACATGACAATAAGTAATGATCAGCAGACTTTAATAAGCAAAATCAGCTAGTTAAATATATTAAGTATTATGGGAGTTCATGGGGTTTTTTTGTGAAGAAGTGTAACATACTGTGTTGTATCTGACAACAGAGGACTAGGTTCAGACATCCAGGAAGTCCCCTCCAGACCCATTTTCCTAAATTTTTCAGTTAAATGCAAGAGCCCTAACTAAATCTGAGGTAACTTTAGGACAGTTTGACAAATTTGCTTGCTGTCGGTATTCTTTAAGATTCTTCAACTCAGTGCTGAATTTAGACATTGAAGATTCTGTTTTTGTGGCAGTATAGATTTTTGAGAGGTAGGCCATGGTATCTGTTGTCGGCTGGGTGTCTATCAAACCTGCCAGTTCATCTAGAGAGTCTGATTCAGATGCCTTCCCCACAGATCAGATCAGCCCTTCTGGGCTCCCTCATCCCTGAGCAGTCCCAAGTCAGATGAGGTTGGGGTGGCATGAGTACAGTTTGTACAGGCTAGCGAGGAAGATGAAACTGTAGAGCACCTGACAGAGAGGATGTTCAGCCTGGAGAAGAGAAGGCTCAGAAGGATTTTATCAATTTATCACATAAATACCTGTACAAAGAAGCTGGAGCCAAGTTCTTTCCAGTGGCAAGAAAAGAGGCAATGGGCAAACACTCAAACAGTGTTTGAGTGAACAGAAGGTTCTCTTTGAACATCAGAAAACATTTTCCTGCTGGGAGGATGATTGAGCACTGACTCAGGTTGCCCAGAGATGTGAAGTCTACCCCCTTGGAGGTTTTCAAAACCCACCTGGACATGATCCTGGGCAGCTGGTTCTAAGGGATTCTGATTGAGCAGGGTTTGGATACTCTGACCTCTAGAGATCCTGCCTAGCTCAATCAGCAAGCTGTAAGCAAGCTCCAGTCATTTTAGCAAATTTAATTCTAAAAGTCAGGCAAAGTTTGATGCTTAATATAAATGTTCTGCATAACTTCAGAGATACCCACTCACTGTGAAACTGTGATTTCTGGAGGCAGACTATGGCTTGCTCAGAAAATCAGACAGGAGATATAAAGTGGATCACTATTATGCTTGTCCATATGCACCCATTATTATTAGAAGCAGCAGAAGAGAACAGGCAGAAAAGATGCTACAGGAACCTTTAAGGGAGGTTTCCTAAAGCAGACAGGTTTTGAACTTTGCATTAGCATGGCACTGGCTCTGTAATGCTCTTAACTTATCTCTCTCTTCCTACCCAATGCTTAGTACTTCTCTCTGTGTCAGCAATGAGGAACTCTCAACCTGGAAAAATTAGTTAGGTTTGGAGAAAGTACAGCTGAGAGATTAATTTGAAGGGTTTCTGAAATTAACCCCTTTTTTACTCCTTCCTGTCTCATGATCTGAAACTGTTTCTCCCCACTGCAGCCTCACTGTAGCTCCTTTCTTGGAGCTGAATTTAATAACTCATGCCCTTGTGTTTATCACACTGTCCATTCTCCATGTGACAGTACAGCAGGTGGGTCCCAAGCAGCCCCACTGTGACTGAGTTAGAGCTTCAGGATTTGCCCAGCCATGCTATCCATGTCATACCTCAGAAACAACAAAGAGCTTTAAAGGTATTGATTCAGGAAATGCTGAAGGACTTCTGCTGGCCTGTGAGGGATAATGGAAGGTTGTTATTTGAAGAAGTTCTTACCCAAGATCTTCTAGTGCTCAGTTTTGCCTGTTTAGTGACTGGGGAAGGGGATACATACATACTTGGCATGTACGTTTCCTGACTGCACTCCTTTTGCAAAAGCTAATTTCTTTTCACTACAGCTCTATATAATGTCAACTAGTTTATGTAATTTTCTGATATATCGAAACCATATTGATTTAAGTTTTATATCATAACTAATCCTATCCAAATACTTAAAGTGAGGGGTTGAAAACAGGCAATGATTTACTCGCCCAACACAAAAAATCTATTTTTCATTTTGCACTCTGCTAATGTATTGTAAGAGAGGATGAACAAACAGATTGGTCTCCTCCCACCACATAGCTGCATTGCCAGCACTCAGGGAAATAAAGACTGCATGGATTAAAAAGTCTCAAGGTTACTATTAAAGCATAGTTACTGAAACAGCAGCATGCACTGAAGAGCTCTCAGCTCAACAGAAGCAGTCCTGAGCAATGTCAGCCTCACTGCTAACGTGGGAGCCAGGCATGAGAATGCAGGTAAGATCTTTCTATACCAGGGCATGAGCAAATCATGATGAATTGCAGCCATTGCCACAGTAATTTGTACGGTGCATATTTTCTTTTAAATTCTGACTTCTGAAAGTGGCTTTATTGTCAGCTGCTTGAGACAAAAGCATTAGAGTTTTTTCAGCACTGCCTATGAAGTGACATTACTGTTTGTGCTTGTTTTGGAATCTATTTATGGTGCACATTTAAGAAAGCATTTGCAGCTCCTAAGGTTTATGTGTGTAATGCTCACAGTCATTTAAACAAACTTCCTTAGCATTTTTTCCCTAGGCAGCCTCTGAAGAAATCTTCCTCTGAATCACAGTTTGTGCATATGCAATTAATTACTGTCAGGCTGTTACACAGACTGATCATGTGGGAATTGACCATTTCATTTTCACACAGAAACAGCCTTTGCCTTTTGCTCTCACTTAGATACTGCCCTTGCATGGCATCTTGATGATGCTCTTATCCTCTGTTTGCTAGATTAGATATTTTCATTGAAGTACTTGAAAGACATAATTGCATAAATACACTTGAAGCAATTCCACCCAAACCACCTCATTCTCCCTAAGTCATTCTCATTTTATTGCAGAGTTTTCAAATACCTTTAAAAGGCTTTCTGTTGTGATGTGTAAATTTTTGAATTGTGTACCTTGTAGACATCTCATAGTATCCTGGTGATTAATAATAGGATAATAAGACAGTCTTCACTAAGAAAAATACTTTAACTTCTAGAGTTCTCAAATGAAATATCCTTTTCTTTTCCTATGAAAATGTAAACTTTTTTATGAAAGTGAAAACTGAATGTGGATCATCAAACTATTCTGAATATTTTTTGCACTGATAACTCATTTTTATTTTAATATGTGCCTTAACAGTACGTTAAAAAATTATTTATGGCTATAAATATATAGATCTATTCTAACACCAAGAAGAATCTTGAACTTATTTCTGAGCATTTCAGTAACAGTAGATGGTTGGTGCATGGGCAATGTGGGGACCCATAAATAGCCTATTGACTTAAAGAATTCTGCTTCCATATGCTCAGACTGGTAGGTTTGCTATACATGAGACAAGATTTGAAAGTAAAGGTCATATCTTTAGAGCTGCTTAGGTGAAAATATTAAACTGATTTTCATATATTTGCCTAGATTTTTCTAATGTTAAGCTATTGAACCCACCAAAAAATTTTGTTGTGTCATTGTCCTTGAGCCTTTTGGCTACAACAAAATGCTATGAAACATCTCTATATTATGTAAGATAGATAGTTCATGCCTAGAATAGGAAAAGACAGTAGCAGTTCTGAATGGCTGATGGCAAGTAATCACATTTAACAGAAAAGTGTCAATATCATGATTAGTGCAAAAACTGTTTCCTTATGCACATGCATACACAGTCTTGAATTGCTATTCATTGATTCTGAAGTCCAGGAATACTTACTTTTTCTTTTTCTTTTATTCTTCACCAAGCATTGATATTTCTTGACAACACAGTTTCCAAATAATCATTCATTTTACCTTATTAAAAATGTAATCTATAGAGACTGCACTGAAATAAGTTGGAAAAATAGGGAGGAAATGTCAGGAAAAAGTGAATGTCTGGGTCCATCTAAATTTTCCATCTGTGAGCTTACAGAGAAAATAACTGGTATTGTCATTGTGTCTTTGTATTACATTTACTGCCAGACAAAATTTACTTTTTTGTCTCTCCTATATGAGTCAGTATGTTGATTGAATTTTTCATTTTTTTTTAGTAGACTTCTATCTCATTCAAAGAAAAATGCACTGCATATACAGCAATTGAAGTTGTCTCATGTTGTCACTGTTTGTTCTTCTCGTTCTAGGTGATGTGATTGTCTATATTAATGAAGTTTGTGTCCTTGGACATACTCACGCAGATGTAGTCAAACTCTTCCAGTCTGTTCCTATTGGTCAGAGTGTCAACTTGGTGCTATGTCGTGGATACCCTTTGCCCTTTGATCCTGAAGATCCTGCCAACAGCATGGTGCCACCCCTTGCAGTAATGGAGAGGCCTCCGGTAGTGGTAAATGGAAGACATAACTATGAAACTTATTTGGAATACATTTCTAGGACTTCTCAGTCTGTTCCAGACGTAACAGATCGACCACCACACTCCTTGCACTCCATTCCAGCAGATAGTCAGCTTGATAGCACATTCCCACCACCTGCCCATGATGATAATGTATCAATGGCTTCTTCTGGGGCCACCCAAGCTGAACTCATGACCTTAACCATTGTGAAAGGGGCCCAGGGCTTTGGCTTCACTATAGCAGACAGTCCTACAGGACAGAGGGTGAAGCAAATTCTAGACATTCAGGGATGTCCTGGTTTGTGTGAAGGTGACCTCATTGTTGAGATCAACCAGCAGAATGTACAGAACCTGAGCCATGCAGAAGTAGTGGATATACTTAAAGAATGTCCTGTTGGAAGTGAAACTTCTTTGATTATCCATAGAGGAGGTAAGTTTGGAAAGTCTGTACAATTACAAAAATGTGTGTAAAAGGTTCTAAACCATAAAGACATACATATACTCACTACATCCTTGTTTGCTAGATTGGAAATTAATTTCCATGTTGTGGGAAGTAACACCATTGGTTTTGGAAAAGTGTGTCTGTAATTAAGTATCCTAGGCAAAATCTTACAGTTTGTTGTACATTCCTTTATGTGTTTTGAGTGTCAATGGTCCCATCTCTGTATAAGAGTAAAGCTAGGCCAGTTCCAGAACTTTCACCCCATAATAGTTTGTGTGGTGTCTGCAGCAAACTCACGTAGTCCCAAAGCAGTGCTGCAAGCTTTAGATATAGTTGTATGTATTGACTCATTAATGTAGATCAAACTCAGAGCAATTTATTTACCCTTTACAAGGTTACTGGTTTTCCTAAGCCACTTTGCCTCCATTCATTGTAAAAAATTTGTACAACAGTTGTTGGGGTTATTTTTTTTCCTGGTAACAGAGATCCATGGTATCTATTTCTCTGATTTAAAAAAAAAAAATAGCTTTTAGCAACTTGTTTTTTCTCACCAGCCTGACACAGTAAGTTTGAATGTTCACCATTGGAAGGGGAGAGTGAAGACATCCATAAAGAAGCAATAAGAACAGAAAAAGAGTTAAAAACTTGACAGAGATTTCATAGCTTTTATTATTTTAGCCAAACAAAAGTTCTTTGGTGGTTTGAGGTGAGCACCCATCCTAACTTATTATTACCTGAAGTAAATAATGATTGAATTTTTTAAATCAAAAATCTTTTTTTTCTCTAAAGGCATTCATATGTCACTTAATGTACCTTAATCTGTGCTTCAAAAGAAAAAGAAAAGGATCCTATGCTCAAAGATGCAAAAATACTAACTACTTTCCTTCTGAAGAATAGAAATTGGGAAGTAAAGCTTTAGTGTTTGCATATGCCAAATGTTTATCATTACAATACCTAAAAATCCTTAGAATAAGGAATATAGTAACATTCTATCAAACTGCAGAAGTAACAAACATAAGGTGATTGTAGGAGATCTATAGTCACATAGTCAATAATGGCACATAGTCAATAAAGTATTTTTCAGGTATATATATATATAAAAGAATGATTTACAAGAGACAGAATGTGATATTTCCTTGGAATGAAACCAAATTAGGATAATAATTGAATTAGACTCACTGTATATGGACTTGAAGAAAGTTAATTGTTGTATTCATTGGTATTAAATCTTGTTGTCCTTAATGGCCATTAAGAATCTTGAACAATACAGTAAGCAATATTTTTTTATTAAGTTGATAAATTAGGGAGCATTTCATAGCCAAAAAAGAGCATCAGGATGATTAGAAGTGTTAGTGTAACCCCAAAAAGGTGGAATTTTATTTTGAAAAAGGCAGGATAATCACCCTCTAGAGGAAAACAATTTAGAACAACAGTCTTCAGAGAGAAGTGGAGTGTGAAATCCAGCATGCTGAACAAGCCTGGGTAATAATATACAACAAAATAGGTATCAGTGTAGGACAGGAGCAAAAAAAACCTGAAGCAGCCACATACTCAAGCCCTAGAGGATAATTGCTCTCTCTGAGGAGAATTTTATTCGTAGATCATTGATTCATAATCAAAACATGATAGTTGAACATTGATCAACATGATAGTTTAACAAGTTCTGGTACATTAACTGAGCCGTGGTTATTTCCTGCACGTGGCTGTGGCAGGTAGGAGATGCTGCACTGAGCTCAACGCGCGACAAAGGCACTGAGAGTTCGCAGCATCTGCTCTGTCTCGGGCCAAACACTGAGGTACAGCTCCTTCCCCTGCCTCAGTGACACATCCTAGCTCCACGTGCAGTAGCATTTAACCCTCTGCTGCTGGGGCAGGAAGTGGTTGGATGCTTTAGAGAAAGCAAGGTAGAGAAAGAGAGCGTGTTTTGTTCATGGTAGAACCATTACCAAGACTAAAGCAAATGTGTGGAAATACTGCAGTGTCATTAAACTTGATGGGTGGTACAGAACAAATGTGAGTTTACTATCATAAATTTTTGTACATCAGAAATATTGAGTATAACTCAAGATTGTGACACTACAAAATTAAAATTTTTTAAAAGTTCACTTTTTTGCTTGATTCAAAAGAACTGAAAAAAATAATGTATGAATCAAACCTATTCTACCTAAGAGATGGCTAAATCATGTCTTAACACAAATATGAGAACTGTTTTAAGATGAAAACCAGGGTTTTGTTTCTTTTTTTTTTTTCATCTATTCATAGGAAAAGGGAATTTATGTGACTAACTACACACCCAGAATGCAGGTTATTATGTCTATGTTGGTCGTCATGTCTCCTTTTATAGTCCCTGTGCAGAAATGGACTTTTCTGTGATGTAATTAATGTAATTCCACTGTAGATGTTTCAAATAAGTCAGGTATATCTAAGTATATCTTAAACTACATTTGCTGCTTGACTGATTGTAAAGGGAGTAGGGGATGACTGATTCAGGTGTATGTATCTATCCAACATGTTATGAATAATAAACAGGTGGTAAGATTTGGTCATGTGAGATAATCTAAACACAAAACCAAATACTTAAAGAAACTTACTTTGACTCAAATATTTAGCCAGTGACATCAGTAAATCAAGGCATACTTTCTCATTACTCATGGATCCAAGTTTTAGTTTATTATCTTTATGTGTAATGAACTTGAATTATGCCATCCTTTTCCACCATTACTTATGCATCCTGTCTTTAATGTCTCATTTTTAAGATTAAGACCAAAGGGCTGTTCCTGCCTGTGGAGGAGGGCTGTGTTTTGCATAGGTTTTTGTGTTGCCTTATAATGTTTCTGTCTGTGATATGAATATGGCCTGTCTGGACACCTAATTGTGGCATTAGGTATGCCACAAATCCATTTCTGTAAGTGACTTAATTTCTCTCTCATCCAGCCATCTTATCTACATTGCAGACAAGAAACAGATTGAAATTGGCTGAGATTTATTCTCACTACAGGAAATAGTATCTCACACTGGAAAAAATACTCCCTTGGATGCGCACAGTATGCATGCTACAGCATTTTAAAAACCATTGTCCCACAAGCTTAAAAGGTCAACAGCCAGAGTGTGCAGGAGAAGAAAAGGTCTGCATGTCTCAAAACAGTACTCAAATTTGAAGAGGCCAATAGAATCTCTCTCACCATCACCAAACAGAGACTTGTCATGGGGTACAATCCAGATGGAGCAAGTCCCACAGCTCAGTCAAGTAATTTTAAGATTTCTGAAGCAGAAGTAGCAATCTATCTGCTACAAAAACAAAATGGTAATGGAAGTAATACACTTCTCCATCAAAGGAAAGAATTTCTCTAGCACTGGCTAGGCCTCTTACTGTCTTTTTCTTGTTTATTGGAAAAGTTCTTTGCTAAGTAGATGCACCATAATAGTTCGCTATCTTTACATCTGTTTTTGCTGAACAGCCATATTGTTTCCATTGATTACTATGAGCTGACAGAGGTGTTTACACTGAAAAACAAAAACTAAAATTGGTGGAAAAGTTAGTGGAAAAGTGTTACCCAAAAAAAAAAAAAAAAAAAAAAGGAAAAAATTATTATAAATGAAAGAAAATAACACCCGAAGATATTTACTCCTTTCCAGCTTTGCTTCAGGCTTTACACTTTATCCTCAGCTTCTGCAGTAGATTTCATTGAGTTTAGGCTGCTGAAATAGTGTGGAAGAGCTCTTGAAAATCAGTCTTTCTGAATGTAGATCATAAATTCTGAATTAGTCCAGTGCTACTGAAAAACAGCACTTAGTGGTTAAAGTGGTATGTAGCAAATTTATGTGGAGCAAAATATTGAGTAATGAGGACTTGAAAAACTAGGCTTGGCACATTCTACTAATTTAACTATCCGTGTATTTGACATATGCCACCTCATTTGGAAATACCTTTGAAATATATGGACCTACAGACAGCAGCCCAGCTCCAGAAATGTTCCTGTCTAAAAAAGAACTGATAGATTCAAATCTAGATCCATCAAGACTATGTCTGAAATGCTGTTGTTAAGGAAACCTGCAGACAAGCCAGGACTGATTCATGCAGTTATGGCAACTCATAGCAGGTGCTGAGAGCGAAACATTAAATGCAAAAAGTGGGAGGCTGACAAAATTCCTACATCAGATGGCTATTTTGTAAGCATGGAATCAGAAAATGGTATGATCCAAACTGGCTGTGAGAAAGTGAGAATGTTGGTATGAAACTGAGCCAGAGAAGTGACACACTGTGGACACTGTTTAATTGTTAGCCCACTCCTGGTGTGGGACTGGACTGCCAGCAGCCAGTGTCACCGTGGCATGGCATGGGAAATAGTGAGGGCCACGTGCAATGCACAGCCAAGGTGAGGAGGGAGAATTTAACTACGTGCTTGTCAATTGTGTGAATAAAAGCAAGGCAAATTAGCTTTCTCAGATATTGTATACATCTTACTTGAAATGTGTAACTCCTTAAAACCACTAACAGATACCAGTACATCACATGCAGCATCAGCAATTTCAAAAACAGGCAGAAATTTCACCAAAAAAAATCTCTGAATATTCTAGTGAAAAACACTAATCCCTCAAAATAAGCAGACTTCAGTGGAAGGAGCCCTCCATCCTCAGTACCCTTTCCATGGATTTATTTCAAATTTTCCAGTTTTGCCTTTTTCCCATAGAGATTTGCTGTTTTTTCGGTTTTTGTTTTTTGGTTTTGGTTTTTGTTTCTTTGTTTTGGGTTGTTTTTTTGGCCAGGACTGCTGTGTGTTTCAGTTCCTCTGGTCAGGAAAGCTCATGCTTCTTTATCTCAGGTTGTTGCCTTTTAGGAAAGCTGCACAAGCTGAGGCAGCACTAGTCTGGCCCAGGAAATTCTGATCTCTTTGTTCCATGACCTCAGCCCACTGCTGAGGTCTCTGTGGCTTTTATTCTCATTCTGCAGTTCTTCATACAAAATAATAAGAGTCCATGTTGTAAAT